TCTCTTGTTTGAGAAGAGACTGCGTGAGAAATTTCCGTCCGGTCAGCATTGCCACCTGGCTTGTCGTTATGGTTATCATTCTCCACGGAACCTAATCGCAATGGAACCCGTGCACGCAAGTCACACAAGACCTCTCTTCTCGTTGAAAATGCCACGGCGCCAATGTTTCGATTTTCAACATTCACAGCCCAATCCCCCTCGTCATCGTACATAAAGGACGACGTTGTGCCATCCATCTGTCGGCGGACAAACCGCAGCTGCTGTTGCTCTGCGCCTGCGTAAGGGGCAAAGTCGCTGAAGGCACTGCTGATCATTTCCTCGATAAGAGGGCCTTCCAATCCGGCCTCCCAATGGCGCTGTAGAAACGGTAACATTGAAGTCTTGTATTCTCAAATTCTTTGCTTTTTTCCCCCCTCCCCCTTTTCTATCCAGTTGCCCACTCAAAACCACAAAAACACACACACACACTTCCTCTCCCTCTCTCTCTCTATATATATATGTTTTTAAAACAAAAAATACCTCTGGTATATTAATATCTATGTGCTTCGTTATTTCCTTTTTGTCTCCCCACGCACACACAAAAGGGAGGCACTATCGTTTATTCACACAGCCAAGGAGAGAATCACGATGTGTGTGTGTGTGCAATTGGAAGCTTGGAAGCGGATATGTGGTGCTTAAAAAAAAAAGAAAAAAGAAAGCGCACTTGCAAACGCTTCTTGGCAGACTTCCCTTCTTCCACTTCCGTCTTCCCGTGTCACCCTCCACCTCTCCAGACGCAGTCTAGCAACCCACACGACATAACGGAGTACAAAAAGAGGCACAGTGGTACATGTACATACGCATATATTCATTCACAGAAGAGTGTCAAACGGAGGGCGGCTTATTCATATGCACAAAAGGGGTCACTCCCCGCGGTACCACAAGAGATCCGTCCTTCCTGTTTTAAGAAGAAGAAAAATAAGGGGCAAAATGATGCCACTTCCCCAATCCACACCCGATTCCCTTCTTTTTTTTAATTTTATTTGACTTAAAGGCATTAAAATTTACAAAAAAATTTTTTTTTTTAAATACTAAATACAGTTCTCCCCTCTAGAGCACAGCCACCCTATTGCAGACACCTCCCCACCACCACCACCACAACAACAACAACAAAAACTTTTTCTCTCTCTCTCTTTCTCGCCTTCTCATACACACAAAAGGATTGGCCATCATCTTCCCCACTGTGTCTTCTGATCGGCTGTGGGGTCTTCTATGGGTGCTCCACCAGGACCCACGCGCGGCACAAATTGTGTCTTTCGCTGCTCTGGATGCGTCGAGGAGGCAAAACGATCGACCCCTTCTTTATCTGAGACGCGCAGCAACTCGTCCTCATCCACACCAGGCACCACACGGCCCGACACAAACGTTTCCGCCAGTTCCTTCTTGGCCTTCTCAAAGGCGTAGGTATAGGTGCGGGCATACTTGCCGCCAAACTCCGTGGCATTGATGCCGCAAAACAGCAGCACTTGTGAATGCTTCGATAGCGGGCCCAGACGGAAGGCAGCAAGTGTATTCTGACGGTCATGTGCATTACGCAAAGCCCCTTTCGCCACAGCAAGCGCCTCCTCCATAGAAAATGTCGAAGAAATGTGATCGCCAGTACTAAACGTGATCGACTCTGCCGCCCCAGTGCCATTTACCGCACATGTCGCAGAAAGTCCACTGTTGTTATCGAACTGACCCTCCGCTGCAAGAAGCGTACAAAGTTCTCTTCCGTACCGCACAGTTGCTGGGTACATTGGGAGCCTCAAACCGTGATTGCTTCCTGGTGACATATTCGTCACGTCCAACATCTCATTTGGAAACCACCACTCTCTTTCCTTCTCCATTGCCCGATCAAGCACTCGGCGGCGCGCTTCTGCCCACTCCGCCTCATTTGCACCGGGATGGTGCACCTCCCAATGGGCGCGGCACGAGGACTCAATCACCCGCTGCATTTCCGTCAGGCCAGCCTGGGCACAGCTACGATGAAACCTGTCGCTTCGAAGCAGATTTAAGAAATATTCCATGAACACATCGCCCTCCGCGTTAAGAACCTGACCAGCCTCAAATTCGCATTGCACCGGAACATCCAGCCCCGCCTCGCGCAAAAACGCACAAAATTGGATAAACTTTGATGAGGGGATGTCTGAAACCTCAGCAACCGACGGTTTCGCCGTTCCAAAAAACTGCTGCACGAGTTGGGGGATGGCGTCAAAGACTTGAAATGGCGTTGAAAATGCCTCACTGCAAAAAGCCGGGTTAAGCGTCGGATTCACATCCACGTCAAATCCCCGCACCCGCACACGGCACTCACCTTGCGGGATGGGCACTCCACTGGCGTCCGTGTATGGAAGATACAACTCAGCCGCCTGATTCGCGTTGAGCACCACACGGTCGTCTAGCATGACCACGAACTCCCAGGAGGACTCATCATCCTCTTGTTCACTTTTGGCGTTGTTGTCCGTGGCTGCGGGAAAAGGTGCGGCATCTTCAATTCGTTGGTACAGTGACGTGGCGTACTGCTGCACCTGCGCGAGCGGTGGAATCGTCCGAACAACGTCCGCAACTCGCCGCGTCTCCTCCTCCACCGCATCGCGCCGTTGCTTCGTCTCTTCGGCCGTCACACGTCGCCAGAGCGACACCTCCACAAACGCATTTCGCTTGATTTCTTGAATTTCCTTCGTGCTCTGCGCCGTCACTGCGGACCCCGCGGCGGCAACTCGTCTCTTCAGAGCATCAAAGTGAGGTGTCGGCCAATCGTAGGAAACAACGCGCCGCGCACCAAGTGGCCAAAAGGTCACGGATTCTTGCATTTTTTCAGCCTTTTTCGCCTCGGACACATCGGCACCACTCTCAAGGAGATCCGACACCACGGCAGACACCACAACCCCCTGCACAGGAGTTGCGAGACGCCGATGGTTGGCACGTAACTGCTTCAATTTGGCACGCCGGCGTTCACCAAAAGGGCGCGCCACGTTCTTTACAACACCTCGTATTAAATCCTCCGCTTTCGCAAGATTTGCCGCGCTAAAAAGCAGCGGTCGTTGCACCGCGTAGACCATTTCCACACCGTAGGTAGAAAAGAGCCCAACGAGCGAGCGACGAAACTTGTACGGCGACGCATAGTCCAAAGAACTACTGAGAGGTTTCGTTGCGTAGTACAACGCCGCAGTCGCCGCAACTTCCTTCAGTAACCCAGCATGAAAATAATTCAATTGTCGGCGTGCTGTTGTCGTGTGCTGCGTCACAGTGGAAGCCCCAAATTTGGCGTAATTTAACTGGCACCAGATGTCGTTCATGTGCGGTTTAAATCCCGCCGCCTTCATATCCAACTGCCCCTTCGCAACGGCATCCACAATACCCTGCAGAACCGCCTCGTAAGATGTAGTATCATACATGGCCCTCCTTGCAGCGGCACTGATGGCACGCACACGTTTCTCCGTATGAATATGCTCGGTCTCCATTTCCTCACAGCGGATTGTGTGCGTCCAAAACTCCAGTGCCGAAAAGCTGAGCCCATCAATGGTTGCCGTCATGAGCTGCATGATGGCATCGTGCTCACTTTGCCACTCCGTTGAAGTGGGGTCGTCGTCCCCATCTAGCGGCGGGTCAAACTCCCCAACTTCCACCTGCTGCTTCCATCGTTCAACCTCCTTCATGCAGAATTCATCCTTTTCGTGCGGTGCCAGCGCAGACCATTCACGGCCACCGAGGCAACGCCTGTGACGCTGCAGGAGAATTTTTCCCACCTCTGCAAACACCGCTGCGACTTTCTGCAAAACTTTTTCAGGCGCATCGCCAGCTCTCTTCAAATCCTCAGCGAGAACAGTCGTGAAAAATTGTTGTGCCTCATGTGAGAGTGGAAGAAACCGCTCCGCCCACTGCGTGCGGCGGGCACCCCCGTAGTGCCAAACACTTGGAGATGGCAGTGGGATGAGAGTTAGGGTCTGCTGCTGCAGGGCATCGTGGAAGGCAATATACTCCGCCGGCTTCGCTTGCTTTAGGGCCTGTTCAAGCTGCTGCAAGTTGGCCACCTTTTCCTTTAAAAACTTCTCCGCCATGTATGCACGTTCGCGAAACCGGGTATCCTGCGACCACTTTGTTTCCGGGCGGTCCGCTTCGTCAGTGAATACGTCTGGTGCATTGACCAAACCCACGTGGTTGGCAGCCGTGCGACGGGAATGCCGGAGTTGGCTCAGATAACGCCGTTCAAAGTACGACGCCCACACCGCTGCGCTATCCTTTACGTGCTCGGGGGAGCCAAACACCATGTTTGTTCCCATGTAATCCTCGACGGTTGCAAACGGAGAGGTTGAAGATGGCGATGGCAGAGACGATAATGATAAGGAAGCAGACGAGCCGTCTGTCCTCGTCCGCTCATTTTGGCCGGCGTGAATGACGGGCAACGCGGTGTGCAGCACTGGATCGTTTCCAAAACGTATCCATGCTGCAATGGCGTCGCTAACATTTGCAATCGGCGCAGAGGACGCCCACAGCGTTCGGTTCTCGTCGCTCTCACGGAGTGGCGCAACGTGATCCACCGCCGGGTCCGGCTGCCAGATCGGCGTGTAAAGACGCCACTGCACATGGACGCAGAGCTGCGCGAGAGGCGACAGTGCCACCACAACCCTCCGCGCACGCATCATGTGTGAATGGACCTCGCCAAGGGCGTCCTATTTATTTGTAATACGCAACAAGTACACTGACGCAAAGAAAAAAAAAAAAAAAAGGAACAGAAGGTGGACCGTCGCTTCATTACTTCCACAAACCCCACATATGGAGGGAACGGGCAAAAACAAAAAGGCAGACAGACGGACGGACAGACGAAAATGGGACAAACAAACATAAATAATTATGCATGCACGCGACAAAAAAAGAGGGAAAAAAAGAAACAACAACAACAACAAAAAAAAAAAAAAAGGAGCCAAATCCTTCATTTCATTCTATGCAGCAAGAAAGACAACAAAAAGAAAGGTGGAAAAAAAATCAGAAGAGAAGTTGCGCAAGTAAAAATTTTATTCAAAAAAAAAAAAAAAAAAGGGTTAAATTCAAACGAAGCAACCACCAAAAAGAAAAAAAAAAACAACAACGACCCGCCACCAACACCGACATAAATAAATACATACGTGCATACACATGTACATGTGTGAATGAATGCATATATATATATATGTAATATGACAGGTGTTCCCATTGCACAGACACGGCTAACTAAAATCCACGATGAAGAGGGTTCCCACAAACAAACAAAACAAACTAAAACACACACACACAGGCACACAGACACACACAGACACAGACACACGGGGGCGCTAGACGACACAAGAAGAAACGGCACGTCGTTAGGCATAAATTCCTTCACGCCACTTCATTTTATTCCACCCTGTCCTTGCTTTTCCCTTTCACATTCCCAACCGTCATCATTAGCAGCTTTCATTTCCTTCTCTAATCTTTGGTTCCTCCTCCTTCTAATTGCCCCGTCTCCATCCGACATGTTAACTTGTCTCCCTGCTCATGGCCAAGCACAGCTTCATTTTCCATTTGGTTTTTATTTCCCCTCCTGTTAAAAAAAATTTTTTTTTTCTCCATCCATTCCTCCCACACTTCTTCTTCTTTTGCCTCTTCACTGCTGCCGTTTCTCCTGACGGCACTGAGCATCATCCCCCGAGAAAGCCCCACATAAACCCCAGCTGTGTGTGTGTGTGTGTTTGTGTCACCGCGGTGTACTTCACTTCGCCCCTTTCTTTCTTCCCTTCCTTCCAAAGTACACGTTTTTTAAAATATCAAATGCAAACTTCTGCATCTCCCTTTCACTCCCTCCTCCTGATCCTCCACGTACACACAACCACACATACCGCATAAATGATTTTGATAACAGCGCAAAAAAAAAAAAAAAAAGAAAGATAATTAAACGCATCCAATAGAAGACAAACAATCAACGAGTACATACCGGCGCTGCATTTCATTCAGTATATAAATACATATTTATCCATGTCTGCTGGACGCATAGTATTAGTTTTCTCTCTCACACTCCTCCCTCCTCCCGCCCTAAATCTCTTTTTTTTTTTTTTTTTTAGTTTTTAGTTTTTGTAGTGTCTTTCTTTTCCTTTTTTTCTTTTTGTTTGTTTCCTGCGCACAGCCTTCTCTTCTTAAACAATGCCAAACAGTTGTTTTTTTGTTTTTGTTTGTTTTTCTCCTCACCCCTTTCTTGCATTTTTCTCGTTGTTCTCCTTGTTTCTTCCCCCCTCCCACTGGCGTGCGTTTGTGCGTGTGTGCGCCGTATCTATTGTTGCATTCCCACATGTTCACCACTCGCTCTTCCTTAAAGAGCACACACACACACACACACACATCCCTCCCCTTCCGTCTCTTTTAACCCCAACATCCCCCTCCCAAATTGCGGTTTCCTCCTCTTTTCTTCTTCGTCTCACACTCTTACATAAATGGTGCTGCAGAATAACAATCCCATGCCAATGGATCCTGCTTTTTTTTTTTTTTTCCTCTTCTCCTTCTTCAAATATATATATATATATATATGTGCATATATATATATATATATCACATTTTGTTTTGCTCTTCTCCAATTTCTGGTTATCGGTGCAACGCATATATGCTGACCCCGCTATTGCCTGCAGCAAAAATGATACTACCGTCATTATTTGCTTTAAGTTGCGTAAAAGCGACGTTAGGGATGATATCATGTGCCTTAAGACTCTCAAGTGAGAAAAGCTTAAGCCCCCGCGCGGTGGATATGACAACATATCCGCTATCTGCAAGTGCGAGATCAAGTATTGGGTCCTTCAGGCGCACCTCATGCATCGGTGCGGTCATGCGGCGTGCATCCCACACTAGGAATGAACCGTCTAGGGATGCTGTCAACAGGGCCTTACGGTGGGGCAGGATTGCCGTGATGGTGTCTGTGTGGTTGCCTTTCAGACGATGTAACGGCGTCGCCAAAGCGCTCATCGTGGCGGCCGTTGTTAAACCGGCGCGATTGTTGCCGCTACGAATGTCCCACACTTTCACAACGGAGTCACGTGAGCCTGTGAAGAGGATGCGATCACCATCCTCCGCGGCGCGAATGATGGTGGTATAATCGTCATGGACCCGCTCAAACCGCCGTAAAAACTGAGAGGTGTGTCCATTGAGGAGAACTAAATCGTGCTGAAGCCCGGACTCAGACAACTTGTCGCTGGGGCCACTTTCCGCGGTACACACGACAAAACTTGCTAAGGCGGCCGCCGTGGTCAGTGTGACATTTTCTTTCCGCGTTATCGTCTCTCCACTTGTCCATGCCCCCGTACTCTCATTGCAGGTGAGCAAACGCACAATGGGTCCCCTGGACACTGTCGCAAATGAACTTCGCTTCTTGCCGCTACTGTTGAAGCTGTTATTCATAACATTAGAGTTTATGCTTCCTCTCTCAAGTTCCATGGTCTGCACATTCACAGCAGGAAAAGGCATCCCAGCAATGAGCAGGTAATTTCCTCGCGGAGGACCGTCCATTGCTACAGGCACACAATACTGTGGGAGATCCAGCGCCACGGCTGCCTTTACATCCCCCGTCGACGGGTGTGGAGTTCCCCAAATAGTCACCGTTCCGTCAAATGTGGCGGAAACAAGCTCATCGCGCTGGCGAAAATATGTCATGGCAGTCACAGGGGACGAGTGATCCATTCTTTTCACTGGCACAAGCGACGCTGCCCTGTGTGCACCACCCCATCCTAACAGGCGCGAAATGGCGAGACAGTCGTACTCGTATTCCGGCTCATCTATCATCCGCACTAGGGGCTCCAGGTTTTGCATCGCCCCCAGAAACACCTCATTTCCACGTTTCTGATCCGCCAGTTTTCCCAGTGCTGCGATGGCCGCTCGGCGACTATTGGGATCACTCAGTAGTGCCTCCAGCGTCGATGCCACGCCACGAAGTACTACGAGATTAAGTTTTACCATCTCTACCAACATCTCGGAGCAAACTGGCATGGGGTTAGACTCATGCACCATCGTCAGAGCGTTGAGGAGGTCCTGCAATACAGCATCCCGCACCTTTGCCAAAAAGGGCGGGTCTAGGAGAGCTACAATCGACAGGTGAGCCGGTGTGGTGATGCACTCTGCAACGCTCGAGATGGCACCGGGAACCGTGGTAGGCCTTGCCAACGCAGCACTGATTTTCTTCGCGGATTCCACTGGCTGGCTTGGGTCAACCAACTCCGTCCAGTTAATGATGTGCCGCCCGTGTCCAATATCCTCCAACATGCGGAGTGTCCTACGAATTTCGTCGATGCGTTTCTCGTCAAATGGGTCCACCTCCGTTGAAGTGGTGACGTGCACTGTCGTGTGTGCCGACACATTCCCGCTGCCAACCATGCGGGACGGCGCCGTCCCGGCTACAGTCGTGCCAGTCGTCGTAGCGCTTGTTAATTGTTGCTGCTGCTGCTGCTGTTGTTGTAGCAGGTGTTCTAGGCCGCCGCCGTTAAAGGCACCACTAAGACCGGAACGAAAGACATCCATTTGCCCCAACGTCAAAAAATTCCCCCCTCCCCGTGTCTTACCCGTCGGCTTTACTCTCCACCTTCTTCCTCTTATTCTGTTCTTCGCCTCCTGTTTTATTTAACACTCTTTCCTCAGTTATTTTTTTTTTTTCTCCCCACCTGTTTTTTTTTTCTTCTTCTTCTTCCTTTTTTCGGTGCACTTTTCCTTCCTTTTGCTCGTGAACTTACTCTTCGTTTGCTGCTGCTCTCTTCTGTGTTTGTGTGTGTGTGTGAAGGGCAATCGTGTGATGTAAATACAACCAACAACAACAACAAAAAAAAAAAAAAAAAGAAAAAAACGGCAAAGAAATGGAAAGAAGGGAGAGAAACAAAGAAGGAGGTGCAACCACTAAATTTCTACATGCATGCACTCACATTCCATGTATGTAAATATAATATATTTGGCGGGTGACGGCTGCTACTGCTGACGGTAGAAACAACAACATTTCTCTTCCCCCCCTCCTCCTCCTCCTCCTCTTCCTCCTCGTCAGCTCCGGCCAACCAAACAGTAAAAACCGCAAAAAACAAAAACTACAAAAACAAAAGTAGGATGACGTTAAAAGAACGCCTAGCCATCTTTTTATTGTAATTGCTTTTTTTTTTTTTCTTTTGCTTCCTTTATTCCTACTTCTTCTTGCCACCTCCCTTTGCTGCCTCCTTATCCCGTACCTTTTTGAAGACGATAAGCTGCTCCCACTTGTAATCATCGATAGCCAACGGGTTCAGGACACGTCCTTCTGCCCCCATGCGGTCTGCGGCAAGCCACGCCTCCTCCATCACCATCTGAATAAGGTCATGGGAACTCGTTCCCTCCAGCAAAGGAGGCACGTACGTTTTGCCATTGAGCCACGTCACCTCAATGCGTGGGGTAATGTGATCAATGGCGTAAAACAAAAACACTTTATCCTTCGGAAAAGGTGCCCGTGCGCTAATGGCACGCCGGTAGAAGTCCATCACCGCCTTCTGCAACGTGTGTCCATACCCGAAAAGAAATGGGGAGATGGTGATGGTTATCTTCTCCATGTGCATGAGAAACAAATAGCGATGCATCGTGCGAGGCGCAACGACAGCCAGGGGTCTCTTTGCACCCAGATGCTCCGGAACATGCTCGGCGTACTGTACCTCCCGTTCCCACATCGTTGGCGAACTGAGCGGAGTGTGCCATGACTTGAATAACCACGTCGGCTTGGATCCCTTCGATACGTACTGCACCTGCGGTAGCGGTTTCTTTACCAGCCGGCCGCGTTTGACAGACAAATACTCAAACTCCCGTCCACCACGGCCGTAGTCTGTAGGACACTTCGCATGTGAATAGTGCTGATGGTACATGTGTCGTGTCTCGCCTTCTCCCCAGCGCGAGACGGTGCTTTGGTTGTACATGTACTTGTTGTGGTTACCCCGCCACATGGCGTAGTACGGCAGAGGATACACGAGGCCTTTTAGATGCCTAACGTGCGGCCGCAGTCGTGGCTGCCGCGAGAGCGCCAACTGCATCGGCAGCAGACCGACACCGCGGAGGGTGTCGATGGTGTAGTGGGCTGCAGGGGAGGACGTTGACATGTGACGGCCCTTCCCACCAACACGACACTCCCCCTGTGAGCTCTACGACTGTGACGTAACCGCTACGCCCCTCTCCTCCTCCCCTCCCCACGGACACGTGAAGCCAGCAGCACCCGGAGAGCGTTCTTTTGAAGGAAAAAAAGAAAAAAAAAAAAAAGAAAGAAAGAAAAGGAATTGTGACCATAACTTATTTTGCCAGAGCGGAGAGGAGGGGATTCTCTCAAGAGCACAACACACACACGGGACCAAAAAAAGGC